ATATATATATATATATATACATTTGCCCCATTCTGGGCCCTTGAACAAGAAAAGTTTTTCTAATGTAGTAAAAGTACCACCCCTTGAGATGGTTGCCAGATTTTTCAAATAACGTATTTTTGTACTAAATTTTAAATCGAATTTTTTTTATTTATTTTTTTTAAGATTTGAAATTGTGTTGTTAAGCAGCATCTTATATTAAATCAGGCACCTTTAATGTAAAATAATTTCTGATCATTTGAACGCAGCCTGTATTTTTAAACGTGTTAAATTAGCGCGAGCAGAGTCAAACATGGCAACCACGAAGCCAAACAGGAAGCGTTCCATGGCGGGAAGTTAGCAAGAATTACAAAAGCGTAAATAAATTGTCTCGCCAAAGTCAACCCACTGCCCACTTTTATTTCTAATTAAGTGACTTAAAAGCTGAAGAGTTTCTGAAATAACGACTTATCGAGCTTATTTATAGCCTACTCTACGTTCAGGTGGGCCATGAAGGGTGAAATAGATAAAATTATCTCCTTTTCAGATGAAGACAGAACCACCGAACTTCAGAAGTACCTAACATCTCTGACTAATGACCAAGTAAGTCATTTTAACAAACGATTCCAGGACACTTTTCAGACGTAAAATTAAGTCCATTTGAATTTTATAACTGCCTTAAAATAGTGTTTTTGCTTAATTTTCTTTATTACGTGTTTTCTAGATTATTACTGTGATAACCAATGGTGCCCTTAAGGGTAAGAAGGTCGGTGCCATGCTTAAAGGCATATTAAAGGGTAAGTAAACTGTGTTGCCTTGTTTATATAGCGGTTGTAATAAGCTAAGTTCTCAGTCTGAATGTTATCATCATAGATTTAATATAAATATATGAATTTGTTGTATTATTTTCTTTAGGCTCTCCGCCTAACTCCACTGAAGGAGCAAATCGCAGGCTTCTTGTATACGAACACTGTATTCCTCTGTGTGAGTCTGGGGATCTTCAGTCTGAGGTAGCAGCTGATATCATTGGCCTGCTGATGCTGGAGGTAAAAAAAAAAATAAAAAAAAAAGCCTAGTTATTTGTTTTTTAAAGTATCTAAGGAGTCATACCATTTGGGGTAGTTTGTAATAATATTTTACCCACAGACTCACACGCTCTCCGGACCATCTCTTGCAAAACTGGCATCTCTGTTTGTCGACGCCATTAAAGTGGGGAAAATGGGCGGTGGGAAATCCCTGGAGCTGTTTCCTACTGTTCTCACTGCCCTTGCTGCGAGTGAAGCCTTGGCATATGGCAAAGGTAAATGTTAACATTGATTTTTAAAGTTATATCAAAAAGTGTAGCGACTCTGACAGCTAAAGGTTATGGCTTGTTTCCAATTTAGGAGAGCTCAGTGGCGAGGAATACAAAAAACAGGTGATTAACAGCCTTTGCTCAAGCAGGTAAATTGATCTCAGATTACGACTGTCTGCATAATGACATGAATCTGCAAGAGATAACAGGATGGTTTATAACTTAATTCTTTGTTTATGAAGATGGGATCCACAGTGTGTCATCCACTTGACAACTATGTTCAGGTAACACCTTCGACTACACAAATGTAGGCATTGTTAAAATACCTCAGAATAATAAGTGTTTTATCTATACATGATTTAGTGTGCTTCTGCAGTCTCACAGAGATATTGCAACATTTCAACTACAGTTTTTAATTTTGTCTGTCTAATTTTAGAGACGTGCCCCTGTCGTCAGAGGAGCTGCAGTTTCTGGTTGAGAAGATATTGAGGATGTTCACCAAACTGGACCTGCAAGAGATTCCACCACTGGTTTACCAGCTGCTGCTTTTAACTGCTAAGGTATGGACAGGAGAGAACAAGCTGGCCATTTTATTTTAGAATCTAGTAAACATGACTTTCTTACTGTTAGTTGCTTTTTCTGCAATATTTCTTTGTTAGGGATGTAAAAAACGGGTCCTTGATGGAATCGTTGGCTACTTTAAGGAGCAAGATCTTCACCAGGAAGAAGAGGAGAAACATGGAGAGTGAGTAACTCATACTCTTCAAGTGGTGCTTACTCTGAACTTACAGCTCACTAGTTTCTTCTTCTTTTTTTTTTGTTCTTAAGGAACTTGGATTTAGAGGTTCAGTCCATTCCACAAGACCAGCTGAGGCATGTAGAGGGCACCGTTATCCTCCATATAGTTTTTGCTATACGACTCGATCATGAGCTTGGGAGAGAATTCCTTAAAAGCTTCAAGGTTATTTACTGTATATGTCAATATTAAAGTTTGTTTTACACATTTAATTAAATGTGATTTGTAAGTTGTACCATTAAGTTTATAATACATGTTTGCAGGTGTCGTATGAGGATTTATGTCCTTTCAGTGTTGCCCTGTTGCTGTCAGTTGCACGTATCCAACGTTATGAAGAGCAGGTGAGAAATTGTTACTCTTCTTTTTGTTTTTAGTGAGATTTCTAATGACTAATTGCTTCCTTCATTTCCCCCATTTTTTAAGGTGTTTGACCTTTTTAAAACCTCAGTTATTAAGAGTTTTAAGGATGAGCAGCTACAACAAGGGTCAAAGTTCATACAGGATCTTCTGTCAAGGCAATGTAATGTTGCTAAATTGATTCTGGACACAGTCAAGAACAGGTTAGTTAATGTATTCTCTAAATAGACCAACTCAAAACAGTAATCAAGATGAGACTTTTCTTTGTAATAAAAGCCAAACAAGTAAAAGTTTGTGTTTTTTATGTGTTAATAGTATTCTAATCTTCCTCCTGTTCAGTGTATTTGGATGGGATCATGTCACTCAGGGATTGGTGCAGCTGGGATTCTTCCTTATGGACACATTTGGACCCAAACCTGGACCGTTTGGAAAAGCCACGGAGGGACCTGTTGGTGTAGCCCGGACCCCCACTCAGCAGGCGTGTAAGCTGGGAGGACAGGTGCTCCTACAGGGCTTTAAGGTACAATGACATTTCATTTTAATTGTATTAAATTTCCATAATACAGTGTCTGAAATTGAGCATGTTTCATGCGTTCATTTGGCAGATGCATGAACCGATCAGAGGCGAGATACTGGAGCAGGTCTTGAATCGTCTGGTCACAAAGACGGCCACACCTGTCAGTCATTACTTGGGTAATACATGCTTTAGATACTGGTGTAGATTTACAATGGCACCTTCTTCATTTGGCTTTTCCCTCTTCAGGGGTTGTCACAGCAAGTCATCCTCCTCCATGTCACGCTGTCCTCTGCATCCTCTGTCCTCACTCCAACTACCTCCATGTCCTCTCTAACTGCATCCATATATCTCCTCTTTGTCTTGTTCCTGGCAGCTGCATTTCTAACATCCTTCTACCAATATACCCACTGCCCCTCCTCAGGACATGTCCAAACCATCTCAGTCTGGTCTCTCTAACTTTATCTCCCAGTTGTTCAACCTGTGCTGTACCACTGATGATCTCATTCCTAATCTTATCCATCCTTGTCACTCCTAAGGAGAACCTCAACATCTTCATTTCTGCTACTTCCAGTTCTTTCTCCTGTCTTTTTGTCAACACCACTGTCTCCAGACCATACAACATAGCTGGTCTCACCACTGTCTTGTAAACTTTTCCTTTCACCTTTCCTGCCACTCTTTTGTCACAAATCACTCCTGAAACTTTTCTCCATCCACTCCATCCTGTCTGGACTCTCCTTTTCACCTCTTTACCTCATCCCCGATTTTCTGGACAATGGACCCCAATATTTGCTCTGCTTCCATGTTTCTGCATCATCAGATCTTTTCTCAGACATTGTGGTCTCTGCTCCCATGATCCTCCTGGAGTCATCCTCCAAGCTGACGGAAACATTTGACCACTTGACTTACCTGCCTTTGGCCACTGTTCAGGGTCTGCTAAAGGCTGTCCAGGTACTTAAAAGGGACAATCATATTTGTAACGTGAAGAACATTCTGCTGTTTAACTTAGTTTTTCCTTTGTTGTTAATTTCCAGCCACTGCTCAAGGTCAGCACGTCTTTGAAAGATACTTTAATTCTGGTTCTTCGCAAGGCTATGTTTTCAAGGTTTGTTGTACTCTTTTTTTTTATCAGATGAATTTCATAACTAAATTGCGCTTAGTAGCATTTTTAAGCTTGAAGAATTGGTTAAAGAAGTTCCTTTTACACCTCAAATAAATTTTCAACACCGTTTTACCCATTAAAATAACTCTCTTCCAGCCAGCTGGATGGCAGGAAGTCTGCAGTGACTGGCTTCTTGCTGTTGCTGAAAAACTTTAAAGTGTTGGGCAGTGTGGCCTCAAGCCAGTGCAGCCAGGCAATCTCCTCCAGCCAGGTACTTTTCACACTTAAAATCATATTTACGTATAAGAGCAAAAGTTTTGTAAAGAAACTGGAACATCTTGTCAGTTTGTAACTGTTTGTTCTTAATCTCTGCATAGATTCAAGTGGATGTTCATTCTCGCTACAACTCTGCTGCCAATGAAGCCTTCTGCCTGGAGATCCTCAGCAGCCTGCGGCGCTGCCTTGGCCAGCAGGCTGATGTGCGCCTCATGCTCTATGAGGTCAGAGCTCTTTTATTTTTAATGCTTCAACAACATCATTAAAAACCTTAAGCGAAGCAGTCGTGCTGTGTTGTTTCCTGAAACCAGATTGATCGGGAGGCAAGATGTTAAAATAATCCAAATACTTCTTGATTTGAGAGTTTATCAGTTTTTCTAGAACCAATTTCTTTGCCATTAACTGTTTAAATCCACGCTGCCTGTTAGAGAACTAGCTCTTGAATCACTGGATGGATTTTAATGCAACTTTCTGAATGTAAACAAAGGGTGTACATGTACAACCAAATAACTTCTGGAGTCAGCCCAATTCAAGATGGCTGCCCAAAGCCATATCACCTTAGAAAATCTAAACATGGCTACCGCTCAGCGTATTTTACTGATATCGAGCTTAAATTTGGTCTGGTAGCAGTTGACACATTCACACAACATACTCCAAGCGCTAAAATATTATGCAAGATCACTGTTTGACTAAAATGTCTATAACTCAGTCATTTCTCAACGTAAAATGATCCAAGTCTAAAACTGTGGCATGAAGGTGGTGGGCGATGAGCATTCCTGAAAAAAAAAAAAAAAAAGCCAGTGCTTCCAATTTTTATAGTGATTCAGACATTGAATTTATAAGAATTTCTTTAATGGTCAAACTTGCGAATCGTTAAATTTTTGAACGATGTTGAGGGCTGATGGAGCAGCTTCTTGTCTGTTTTTCAGGGTTTCTACGACGTTCTTCGTCGCAACTCTCAGCTTTCAAGCTCCATTATGCAAACCCTCCTCTCACAGGTTTGTGCCCACACTGAGTGGATACTGCGTTCTGTTTATGATTTGTACTAAAATGAGTACATTCAATTCTTGTATCCTTAGCTGAAGCGATACTATGAGCCTGAACAGGACCTTCTGCCCCCGATCAAACTGGAGCCATGCATCACTGCTCACGGGGACCAGATTTACCTCCAGGAGCCACTGGTACTCCCAACTACTCTGTAGAATACTTGCAGCCATCTCGTCTGTGCTGATGTAGGTTGTTGACGGTGTTTGTCCTGTTTCAGGCCCATCTGGTGAGCTGTACTGTGCACAGCCTGCTGTGGCTGCAGAACACGCACAAAGCAACCAACTCCAACGCTGACAGCGATGAGGAGGAAGAAAATGGGGAGGGATATCAGTGTGACCTGCAGACAATCCTGGAAAGCACGACACGACGCATGATCAAGTGTGAACTGGAGGACTTTGAACTGGTATGGACTGGAGGACTGAGATCAGTCTGTAACCTGTAGAACAAAAAATAAATGTATTATGTGAAGTTATTTTAATTGTTAAAATAAGATGTTTTGGAAAGGAAAAATCAGAACTCATAGATGCGCAAGAAATGACCTAAGATACATCCATAAGAACAATAAACATTCACTTTTAAAGTTGCACATTTACTGTTTGAAACCCTGACAGGTTTTAGCATTTTGCTAGTAAATTGTAGCTTAAGCTGTGTACTGTTTTCATTGGTCAGGACAAGTCTGCAGAGTTTTCTCTGGGATCTGGTGTTGGAGTGAAGAACAACATTTATGCTGTGCTGGTGATGGGAGTGTATGAGGTCCTAATGGAATACAACTTCATCAAATCCAACTACAAGTAAACCACTTTTCTTTGTATGAAGCATATTAGAGCATTGCTGTTATAGTGGGATATCTTTTTTTTAAAACTTTTTAATAAAATGTGTCTGTCTTGCAGTAAAAGTCACTTTGAGGGGATTATTGAGCTGTTCAAACGCTACCACAAACTGTCTGAGATCTTGAAAGAGAAATCTGGAAAAGGTCGAGTGCCCACAAACAAGATCCCCCGCAGTTTACTCTCTATGAGCTTCATATCAACTCTCATCACTGTGCTCTTCAGGTAAAAAAACTCCCTGCACCTCTGTGCAGATTGTATTAGACTTAATTTCATGTCATTCTTGTGTTTCAACAATCAGTACCGAAACGTTATTGTAGTTTTTGGTTAGCTGTAGTTTGGACGTTATGAAACATTACAATGACAGTTACTGTGCAACATTTAGAAGATGAACAAGTGATGGCAACACTCTTTTCTTTTCAGAGATAACACTCAGTCCAGAGAAGAGGCTCTTTCAGTACTTCGCTCAAACGGAGAGTTTGTGCGTTACGCTTTAAATGTAGTCGTTCAGAAGATCCAACAACTGGAGGAAACTGGACACACAGATGGTCCAGATGGACAGAATGCAGACAAGACTTTCCACTTCCTCTGTGACATGACCAGGTTGACACTTCTTGGTTTAAAGCAGTCTTTGGATCGACTGTTCCCAGTTTTATTTATCTTTCTTGGCTGGAAGAGTTCGTAACAGTACCTGATCTTTGTCTGAATGGTTGCCAGTGTGCTGATGTGGCGTTACACGAACATCCCCAGTGTGGTGGAGGAGGCCGGGAAGAAGGAGAAGCGGTGCAGCTTGTCCCAGCTTTGTTTGGATGGTCTGCTCAGGATCTTCACAATCTGCCAGCAGCGCTACCTGGAGAAGATGGCACAACTTTTTTCTGCTATGGGTTAGCTATGCGCTGCTGTCAAGTTTCAAATTCTAAGGTTAAGCAACAAAATGAGCAACAATCCATCATGTTTTGTTTTGTTTGTTGCAGATGTTGGAGAAGAAGAAGCTGAGCAAGATGATGTTAATGAGATGAACTACTTTTACATTCGACAATTTCAGGTAGAAACTTGACTATTTATAACTTATGTATTGTCTTAATCAGGGGATCCCAACTCTGGTCCTTGAGGAACACCATCCCGCATGTTTTAGTTGTTTCTCTGCTCTAACACACCGGATTTAAAAAAAAGGGTGATTTTCAGGCTTCTGCAGAACATGAGAAAGTAAAAATAATTAAATCACTGAATCAGGTGTGTTGGAGCAAGGAAACAACTAAAACATGCAGGATGGTGTTCCTCAAGGACCTGGGTTGGGAACCACTGGTCTAAATAACACTACAGCTTTTGTGAAAGTACAAGTTCCATTTTCCTTTGTCTATCAACAGAGGGCGCTGTTCACCCAGTTAAGTGGAGGTGAGGAGGAATTCAACAGCAGAGAAGCTCAGCTGCTGGTCAGTATTCTGACTGTTCTCTCACGCCAGCTCCAGCCCTCCTCAAAACAGGTAACATACACCCTTGCATAACCTTCATGAGTCAAAGTGGAGGGTATTTAATCTAACCTGTTGATATTAAATCAACAGTTTGAACAGATGATCACATGGACTGTGAAAATCTGTAAGGAGACTAGTTTTGGTGAGTGACAGTTCACTTTGTTTATGTGCCTTCAAATGCAACAATTTCCTAACGCATAAGTTGTTACTTTTTTTTTTTTTTTTTTAGAGGATTCTGCGTTCTCCAAGGGCCTTCTGTCACTTTTCTTCAGTTTGCATGTTCTCTACAAGAGTCCTGCGAGTCTGTTGCTGGAGCTTTGCCAAGACATTCACAGCCAGTTGGGAGATATTGATCAGGTGTTGAAAGTTATCCTTTAGAGTGTTAAAGTTGGTTTTATTTTCAGGTGGGGAAAAAAAAGGTGAAATCAAATAAGTCGATGGCAACAATTTAGTTGCACAAACTTGAGCCACACTCTTACTTTGCACTTTTACAAATTTAGCAATAAACACAAACTTTTTTTGCCCACAATATTCCCAGCACATACTTAAAGAAATATGTAACTAGTTGGCATGAGGTAACCCAGTTACCTTAATGCAGCATGTCTGGTGTTTGATCATCTCCAGACTGGTTATTTTGGAGCCAAAAGTGAGAATATTAAAAAAAATAAGTCTTCAAAAATTAATATGACTGGGTAAAATAAAACTTTGTGGCCAAATTTTTAACAGTCTTTTTGCTTCTAAATGAGTACTGTTATTCTAGTTGAATGAAATTTAATTAAATCTTTTGAGCTAAAGGTTTTGACTTGGTTTAAAGCAGAAACATTTTGTTTTAGAGGTCATGTAGATGTCGCACCTGTCTAATGTAATGTATTCAATCTGTTATTTGAACAGTTAATAATCCGGCTTAATTTTGCACTTTAATTCACTACACAATATATTTTCATGTTTGCAACAATTAGGAGTCCCTTTTTTATTCATTATTTTTGTGCTGCTTTTCCTTTCTCTATAATCAGGATGTGGAGGTGGAGAAACGGTCTCATTTTGCCGTTGTCAACATGAAAACGGCAACAACAGCAACAGTAAGCGTCCGCTTTTAAACTGAAGGCTTTATATTTACTATTTGCTTTTTGTCACGGCGCGTTCGCTTTGTGTGCTCATTTTCCTCTTTGTCTTTAATATTTTCCCCAGTTGCTGGTTCTGTCACAGGTCGACAAAGTTCTTGACGAGGTGGACTGGCTTATTGCCAGAAAGAAAAATCAAACATCTGATAAATCTGGTTCTGGTAAGAAACTTAAAAAAAAAAAAGGATGCTAAGGTGGTGGAAGCAGAGATGTATTAACATGTTGACATTAAATGTTGTGTGTAGCCGAGGACTCCCAGGCTCCAGGGCAGCAGGATCCAGTTGAGAAAGCGGTGACGCTGCAGCTGGGAACTCTCCTGACCGCATTAAACGAGCTCGTCCAGACGGCGCTTCAGCTGGGAACCTGTACCCTCACGCTGCTGAGAGAATTAAGTCGTACCTACACCACCCTCACAACCCTGGTCAAATATGTGTGTATCTATTAATTTTAGTGAAAACATTTGTTATTTGGCCTTCCTGACATTTCCCTTCTCTTCAACCAAACAGTACATCCAGATGTGTTCCAACCAGCACGCTGCACTGCCAGCTCGATTTGAGAAGCTGGTAGGAATATAGTAGTTTCCCTCTGTTTTAATCTTCTGTTACTTTGTAATGTCACACTAAAGTTTCTCCCGTCTTCCGTGCAGGTTAAACTGTCTGGCGCCCACCTAACACCACAGTGCTACTCCTTTATCACATACGCACAGGTACAGTCAGCCTCAGTTCACAGATGCTATAAACATGACAAGCAAATGCATCGTGAAGAGGAAACATTGTGGTTTTTAAGAGTTGTTCTTGTTTCATACTAGAACGGTGAATTTGGTGGTGGTTCAGATGAGAAGAAGAAAAAGAAAAGGAATGAAGTGAACTCTGTTGCCTCGGTAAGGATTATAACCTGGAACTAGAGTCCTTGAAGAAATTAAGATCCTTCATTTGAGGACTATGTTTCTCTAACTGTAGTTCTCGAGCTATAGAAAATTTCCCGAAACTATAGAAGTTCCTGGAGAAACTTTAATGGGTGCTGCCACGTGGCGGCCATTTAAAAATTTTGATTTGACGGTATTGGTTGGGGTTCGCTCTCAGCTACAGCTATACCAAATTTCAGCTCAAAATGTCATTAAGTTAGTCATTTTATCTTTTAAGCTATGGTGGCCGTTTTGGATTTATTTATTTTTATTCAGTATGTGATGGTGAAGGTTCTCAACTATAACCACACCAAATTTCAACTCTGTAAAAATAGCTGAGTTAAAGCCATTTAAATTTAGCTTTTGGTGGCCATCTTTATTTATTTTTTATTCATTATTTATTGGGTATCGCTCTCAGCTACCACACCAAATTTTAGCTTAATATCTCTAAAAATATCTGCTTTACAGTATTTTTGCCTTTTTAGCTCATGTGGCCATTTTTGGATATTTGATTTGCAACCAGACTCTATGAAAAATGACTAATAAAAATGGTGTATTTGTTTGCAAATTATGTCACCATGGTAAATCACAATGTCAACAAAATAGCACACATCAAGGCACCGAGCCGGTCGTTTTGATATAACATTTGTGGGGGTAACCATTGCGGTTCGGGCTGCATTAAAGTTGACAGAAGAGTTAAAATATAAAGTTAAGAAACCCTTGCCAGGTGGATAATACTAGGTGGCTGCCTTACTAGGTAGTCCCCCATAAAGTGGATATTTTTTTTTGAGAATGGGGGAAGACATGCATTAAAATGACCGACTACAAGAACATTATATTTATTTATAACAAAATCTATATACACAATAGATAACTTTATATAAATCTGTTCTGAAGATCATTCAGAACTGTTCTGACCCTTTTCGTTCTCTTGATAGACGAAGCTTCTGCGTGAGACAAAGGCCATCCCGAACTTGATCTTCAGCATTGAACAGTATGAGAAATATCTCATCACACTCTCAAAGAAATCAAAGGTTTGTGTGAGACAGATTACATCCAAAAAACACAATATATGTATTTTTTCCTCCATAAAATCTGCATACATGTGTCCAGGTAAATCTGATGCAGTACATGAAGCTGAGCACCTCAAGAGATTTCCGTATCAATGCTGCAACCCTGGATGCAGCGCTGCATGAGCAAGATGGCAGTCAGGAGGTACGTCTCATACGCCACAAGTTGTTTTGTTGCTTCCTTCATTTTGACAGAGCTCACACAAATCCAGGTTGAGTTTACCGAGATGTTTCCTCCTTGTGGTACTTAAAAGTTTGAACCTAATTCTGAACAGTCCGAGCGGCCTTATTTTAGTGGGAGGGTTCTTAACTTGTCTTTTTGTTTTTTCTTTCACATTTTTCAGGTTGAGGAGTCACAGGACACGGAGGAGTCACAGGAACCCAAACAGAAGAAGAGAAAACAGTGAGCTGGTATCCCTCTTTAAACCCAAGCTGCTGGTGAACGTTGTTCTTGCATAAACTGTTATTTTGCTTTGTTCAGAGAGCCTTTAGTGATGTCGATGATTTGGTAGATGTCCAAGGCCTCACCTGCAAAAAATGTACTTTGTCACTTTATTTTAAAACATACATTTTTCCTATTTAAAGTACATGTCCAAAGTACACACATTGTTTTGCTTTAGAAATCTTCAGTTTTATATTTGTATTTGATGAGATGTTGGGAACTGATTTGATTTCTTAACTTGTGATGTGATGAACTTAACTTTAACAAGCATAGTTTCTCATTTACAGTATAATACAGTTGTGTTAGCAGTGCATGTAGTTGTGCCTGACATGTTTACACTAACATGAGAGAAGGATCCAAGAAAAATATAAATGAAAACTTTGTTGTTTTTAGATTTAGTATATGTTTATTGTGATTATTATGCTGCTACTATGCAGTGTACATGCATGAGCCTGGGATATGTAAAAAAAATAAAATAAATAAAGACTGGTATGTATTGAGCCAGGGGGAAAAATGAAAAAAGTTAATCTTCCAAGACAAAAAACAAAAGTTGGAAATAAACTACATTAAATTTAAAACTTTTACAAGTAAAATAAAAGTCCATCTAAATACAAAACGATTACTGGATTTTATTAAAGTTTTACTTGAATTGTGTGGACTGTAATTTTATTTTTGTAATTATTTTCATCTGCATCTGAAGGACTGAGGCAAGTATAGTTCCAACTGCCATTTCTGTACGCCTTGTGTATTAAACATTCTTCACAAAGAAATACTTTAAGGCCATGGTTAAAATCACAAACTCACCAGGTTGAAAGCCGTACCGTCGTTCCAGTCCTGTGGGGTTTGATGGAGTCACACAGTCCATGGTGACCTCCTTCCTCAAGCACTGGTCAATATCAACTGCACTGAAAAACGCCACTGACTGTGGAAGGTCCTGCATGCCTAATGCATGAGCAAACATACACCTGCAAAACAAAAAAACGCATGCGCTAATTAAACTGACCAACATACAGTAGAGAGTATAACAGACTAACCCATGTTGTCTGCAGACCTTGTAAGCAGGTTTGTGATTTGTAGGGCCATTGCTGCTCTGTAACGGTCTTCACTGTGGACGAGGTACCGGACCTCATCGTGGATGCTGATGCAGAAACGTCCATTGATGTTGTACTCCTCGAAGAGCCACTTCATGGCCACCAACATCAGATGCAGGTAGTCTACTGCAGAGCTCTGGACCACCCAGTTCACTCTACTGGTGATAAACTAAAAGAAGAAAAATAGCATCTTCATCTATCAAAACGTAGCCTTTAATTTCAATCACCAAGTTTCTCAGAAATGTCTGGCCCGCTCATCTTGTTGCCTCTGCTGAGGGCTTTCACAGTTCTGTTTTAATTAGTGGTTCCACGATGACTTGATCAGCTCCGCCTCACCTCATCCCTGACTGCTGTGGGCTCCAGAGCTCTGCTGATCCTGCAGCCCAGAACAGGAGTGGCTGGTTGGGCTGAATGAGCTATACTCTCCAGCTTATTGAACATATCAGACTCCGTACCTTCAGCCCAGACACGTTTGCCAACAATATCCCACTTTTTTCGCCGAGAGCTGAAAGAGTATAAGGAGCATAGAGGGGAAATTGAACAACGGTCGGAAATATTAAACATGTGTGCAAATGTTTGAGTTTTATTGGCTCCATTACCACTGCGAGGCCAGTTTATTGATCTTCCGCAACTCCTCCAGTGAGACCGTTCCACCCTCCTCTCTCTTCACATCTATATCCAGTTCATTGACCAGCCATTCACCCTCTTCTGATAGTTGATATCTGACAAAAATATAGTCACCAAAATGTTGGGCTGCAGCTTTTAACAAAAGGTACAAGTCTTGGATTCTCCTTGCTGAGCTTACCTGCGTAGACCCTTTGTTAAGGCATACATCTGCCTGGCCTTACTGGCAGCTTCTGTCTGGTCCAGGCGGTGGTTAAACTGCATCAGTAGCCTCTCGGCAAACGGCTGCCCCGCGCCATAAATGCGTCCATAATTAAACACTTTAGCATGCTCTCGGCTGATGCCCACAGTGTCAGCGGTTCGACTGTGCAGGTCCGTTCCCTGACTCTTCTTTCCCTGAAGGGTCATCCAGCCGAATGCTGTGCAACCTGAACCACAGAGAGGCTAATGGTAAGAAGTAAACTGTAATTTAGAACACAACCAGGTTTCCCAGGGATGGATTTTACCATGCATGCCAGCAAAGTGGGCTTCTCCAAGCACTGCAGCAATCCACAACTCCTGAGAGTCCACGTCTGCTCCTACCAGGTGATATCCAGGCGGTACCTGCACCATGGCCTTTAGCTCACTGCCGACCCGGTCCCTCTGTGAAGAAAAGTAACCACTTAACAAGCTTAATTACTTTGTCTAAAAACAACAAATTCTCCAAATTAACTGTTAAACCAGTAGTTTCAGACATCAGCTCAGCCTCTTACCCGAGCATTACTGGCAGTCAGCCATGTTGGTTCCACAGCTCGGCGAGTTACAGTCCCTGCAGTGACAACCTGAGGCAATATGGCGCCATACTGACCGTCTTCGTCAAAGTCTTTGTGTCTTGGAGACAAAAAGTTATATACCGCTGCTTGATTAAATCAGTAGATTGGTCAAATATAGAATTACTTTCAACAAGCCAAACAAACCTGCTGACATTATGAGGAAGCTCTCCTTTCCTTAGCCACAGCACCATCTGAGAGCTAAGAACAGATTATAAAACAAACTGCTGTATATATTTATATCAGTTAATCTGTTTATGATCAGAATAACTGCTGGAAACTAGGGATGCACGATATTGAATTTATGACCGATATGTTAAAACTTATTTGGCCAATAACCAATACCGATATTTTTCCCCCTAGACCTACTTACAGAGACTACATCGCTTTCTCTGCTGTAGAATTAAAATACTACATTATTCTGCATGGTCTTTGTCAGTTTGGCCTACCACCAAATGCAGATGCCAAAAAGGGGCTGAAAATGATGTAACATTATAAATATATATTTAAAAAACATTGCCTTTTATATCAGTGAGTTATTTTGATGGAATGTCCGATATTGAACTATCGTTAATATCGGCCGATACCAATACCATGCCGATAATATCGCGCATCCCTACTGGAAACATAAAATACCTTATACGTTTGTGGGCATTCCTCCAGAAGGACATCATTTTGTTGATCTCCAGAGCTCGGGCTGCGTTGGTTCCACCTCGTCCTGCTCTTAGAGTCCCATCCTCCATCTTAGACAAGAAGTCCTTGGAAAAAGGGCTGCCAACGTTGTTGTGATGACCATCCTGTGAACACGTTCAGTCAGACTGATAAATAACTTGGTGGAGCAACAATGTGTACTCAGAGCATCCGAGGTCCTGAAAGCTGCTCACCTTGTGAGGTAATTTGAAAAACCAGCAGCCTGGAATATTTACATCACTGTAGGGGCCAATTCCATGGTGATAATGGCATTTGCTCTCCTCATTGACTAAATATGGATCTTGAGTCTGTTGACAAAAACACAAAGTACACCATATAATAAATTACAGTTAAATGAGAAAGTCTGACAAGGTAAGACAGACGTTTTATAATAAAACCTTCAAAAGGGTGGACATGTACACAGGAATTTCTACGAGGATTAAAAAGTGTTTGTAACGTGAAATAATACTCACCTTCTTCATTCTTTTCTCATTTTTTACAGTCGTAATGCCATTTTCTTCTGGGAAACTTTCCAAGGAGCTTAACTCTTCTACCTTTAAATTACATAAAAAACGTTTTCTGACGGATTTGTCAGAGCCTGATTAATTACTCCGATTGATAAAACGGCACGTCCTAGATAACTGTAAATTACATAAAGTCAGAAATAAGTCTAGAAAACATGCAGCAAATATTCTGTAAAAAAAAAGAAAAGCTAATTGCTCCAAACACAACAAAACTTGAGCCTCAGGTGGAGTTTCTGCACCTTCGTCCACACTGTGCTGTCAGTCAGCATGAGGTCCTCTGAAGGACCAAAGTCCACATACTCGGGCTGCTCCTTGCTGTTCTGCTCACAATACTTCTTGTAAACATCCTCGATAGCTCTGTGGAATACAACCAAATCTATATTACATGCATTTCTGTTCAATAAAAGATGTCACTTAGAGATTGTCATTGTCAGGACTAATTTGTGTTGACTTTGGGTATAAAGACAATTGCATTTCTCACATGTCCACATTTTTACAGGAAATTATTTTAGAGCTATGCAAACTTTAAGATCTCTTATCCTGCTTTGATTTATAAGCTTTGATTAGAAAGCAGATCCCATACCCATGTGGGCACACAGGTCCTGTGTTTTCCTCCAGGTTATGAAGATTATCCCTGCGTCCAGGAACCAGATATCCCCACCCATGTTTCTCTGTGTAATGCAGGGGGAAACCATCCCACGTCAGACCCATCAGCTTAGGTGTCAGTCTCATCTGAAGACTGATGAGGCTGGCTCCAGGCGACCAGCTGTCCTCAGACATCTTCTCACACAGCTTTCGATACCACCTGGACAACAATGTGAGGACAGACTCAGACGTCATGTGGCAAACAGAGGAGGAAAATGAAAGCCAATGATCTTAAAATAAGCTTACCCTGGATGTCCAGGGAGATGTTGCCTTCTCTTAGGGAGTCGAATCGCTGTTTCCTTGAGTTTCTCAACAGCCAGCCTGCTGGGACACTGACCTGCCATCTCCTCTTCAGATGGAGGGTCTGGGTCTAAAACCACAGCACATGTGATGCATTACATTCTGTAACCTTATACGCATTCTATATGAAACGTTACACCACATGAACAGAACACGCAAAAAAAAGTTTTTCATTAAATAGATTTTACAGTATGAACTTATACCATCTTCCAGGTCCAGAAGAGGAATGACAGTTTGTGTTTCGGCTGCTTTTTGGGAGTTTTTCCTCTTTTTAGCTGCCACTTTCTTCTGCTTAAACTCCTGAACATCCCACTCAAGATCCCAAAGCCAGGGGTCTTCTTTGTACCTTGGAAATCAAACCACATGCATTGTGATTGTTTTTGAACCAAGAATATGCACAAAATGAAAAGCTTTAGTAGTCAACAACATGGTATCATCTCACATGTCTCCATCCAAGAGCTGACACACATCATCCGCTAGAGTCATCAGAGACTTCTTCATCTCGATCTGGAGCTCTTTGTAAACGTCCTGAGAATCTTCCAGGTACCGGCTCCAGTTCTGATTGACGGGAAGGTAGCTAACACCCATCTCCAGCATCCCAGCGAACGTCACCGGATGAGGGCACCTTATAAAATGCGGAAAATCAGAATAACTTTGTGACAGTAGCTACGTTTGTACGGAGATGCATTTCTTTAATCTGACAAAAATGATGACGCCTGTAGAAGCAATCAGTCAGAACAACGTAATAGCATATTGCTATCCAGAACATTAGTGCAAATAATGTAAATGAAGGAATGATGAAAATCCTCGTGGGCTGAGATGTACTGACCTCTCCATGAAGAGGGGCAGCTGCTCAGTAAAGACCTGATGTGTAGCCTCAACATCTAAGGCACAATACTGCATCAGCTCCTGGAGGTGGCAGCAAAAGCAAATTTATCTTGAGTGCAGGTCACCAAGGTCTAATTAAACAAGTACATTGTGTATAAAAGTTCTGACCTGAAAGTTGCTCCTGACATCAGTCATGCTTCCCTTTATAAAAATCTCTCGGGCCTCTTTCTGCAGCGGTGGCCCTCCCACGTACAAAGCATGGACATCAGCCAGATTGTTAATGCTGCTAATGTTCACCCAGTCCCAGGAGCCAGTCTACAAACAAAACAGTAAGTTGAGATAAGCTTTGGTGCTAGAAAAAAAAAATCTAATAACATGGCATTGACTCTTTCTATTGGAAGTCATGTGGCAGACAGGTAAATCAGAGCAAAAGAACAAACCCCGGGTCCCGCCTTTTTCTGTCCAGCTTTCTTAATGTGCTTCTTGACCTCCTGAAGACCCCTCTTTCTACCCAGCTTACTCGCCATCCACAGTGTGCGTTGGAACCCTGTCAGCCCGGAGATGGCCATATGAAGGCTCATGGTGTCCATAAAGCGCATTTTTGAGCCCTTACAGCAAAAGTAAACAATGAAAATGAAGCAGATCTTAATGGGCACAAAGCTCACCACCATCTAAATACTAACCTTCAGAAGGTACTGCTCCTTTATATAGGATCTGTCAAAGCTCACATTGTGGCCTATAATGAGCCTCTCCTTCCACTGACCTCCAGGAGGGCGAGCAGAGTTTAAAGGTGTTTCTAGTGGAATGAGGTCAGCAAGTATCAGGTGGTTTGACCAAGAGTACCGCTCCTCAATCAGACGCTTACTGCACCAGGAGTACCTAAACAAGAAAGCATATTATAATTAATCCATTATAGCTATACATTAAAATGCAACTTTGGTGTTTTTATTTGTTTGTTATACTTGCAGCCAAGTGTCAAAAGGAGAGCAATAATGCTTTTGCCCGTGTGTGTTCCTGTATCTGTTGTTGAAATTTCTCATGAGCCACCAAACAAATTTTAATGAAACCCAGAAATTAATCACTGGATGTAGATGTGCAATGGAGTAACGTTTAGAGTCCATCCAATTCAAGATGGCCATCATAGCTCTTCCACATTAGCATACACAAAATGGCTATACAGTAATTAATTACATTTTACAGATTAGGAGCCAAACTTTGAAGTGCTAGGATCTGAGACTTATGCACAACACACCTGAGTATGACATGTTTCACTACTATATGAAACTGGACAGTTATTTTCAAGTTTTGACCCAAATGGCTACATCTCCATCGTTTCTTAAGAGAAATTTAGTCTAAAACTCATCAAAGGCAGAGGGCGACATCCATTTCCTTAAGACCTTAAGGACTAAGGATAAAGGAGCAGACCTTTAGTTTTAATAAGCATCTGTGCTTTGCCTTTTAGCTACTCAAAATTTTGCTTACGTTTTATAGACTTTTACTTTTCCGTCATGTTTCTCACCAGTTGGTAGGAGACATGGCAACTGCCAGTGTAGGGCACTGTCCTTCTGATGTGCACACCTCCACATCAAACACTAGAGCAGACTCTTCTGGAAAATCAACTTTCTCACTCTCCCCATTAGGTCCATAACGCGTCCAACCAACCTCCCAGGTCCATTCCTGAGGCACGGGCGGCAGCTCCGCCCGAAGCAACTTGGTGGCAGCCTCGAGGTAGGGAAGGCTCTGCTTCTCAGCCAAGATGCGAAAGTGCTCATCAATGTTTTTCCCATACATCTGGGGAAGTTTAAGTTCAACATCTGGCAACATTGACGCGTCCTTCCCCCATAGCTTGTGCTTTTCCAAATGCCTTATGCTGCGCTGGACATCTTCCTCCGAGTACTCTGGCTCCACTCCACGGAAGATCTGCTCATGGAGGTTTCTGGAGAGCATCTGAATGTTAAGGGGGTTCAGGCGGGTCTCTTTTGAGTCTTCGCCCTGGAGTGAGTGAGGTTTGGTGGAGTAGAAGGAGCTTGGACACCTCCATCTTAGACAGAAAAGAGTCCTCTGAAGAGGAGGGCGCAGCAGATGCAACATCACCTCATGAGGGCTTCTCACCTAAACTGGAAGAAAACCAAACAATAAAGTAATATAAAATAGATTTGTTAGGTGTAGGTTGTTGTCTTCATGATAAGAGGAAGAAACAGACTAAATACTAATCATAACAGATAAATCACATTGATATGACTTCTATGTTTTTACTTAAACAGCACAAGTAGTTTTGTGAACCTCTGATTAGTTTCTCAGCAAACATCATTACCCTTATTTATTTTTCGTACTTCAAAAAGTTATTGTTCAGCCTTATGCACGTAAACTAAAACAGTTAATGCATAAAATGTGTCTGGTTTAACAAACTAAGGCTTATGGACAGCGGTAAAGGTTTGCACGTAGAAATAAAATTGTCATTCTTTTCTAGACCTTCCAAACCACGCGTGTTTACAAACGCTCCACTTCTGCTTGATGCTAATAAACCAGCAATTAAAAATAAATTGGGAAGTTTTCCACCGCGAAACTACACCAGATATTCATTTTTGTTAAAAGAGAAACATACAACCTAGATGACCTGTATCATAGTTTGACTTTCATATTTAAATATACATAAAAAATAATAAAGCTGGCAAGCTAATACCTTAGCATTCCTGTGTGGTTGAAGACCAAAGACATTGCACTTTAGCGACCCCACGCGGTGCGGAGGAATTAACGATTTCTAAAGTCCGGACAAATGGCGGAAAATACTGCAGAGTACGAGAATGTAGATTTGTTTTGACCTGCCAAATTGTCCAATATTAAACTGTGGTTGTGCAAAGCAACATTCACACAAACAATATACATTGACATGGAAACTATATTTATATAAATAAAATACTGTGAGTACCATTATCATGGAGTGGCCGCGTGGCCTAATGGATAAGGCGTCTGACTTCGGATCAGAAGATTGCAGGTTCGAGTCCTGCCGCGGTCGCATGATTTTTGCCTTCCCTGTTCAAACTGTTCATTTTCTTAACCTGTACTGTTTCCTAATGTCAGAAGCTTGCAACAAATGCACTGTTAGTCACCAGCTCACATTTATTTTTCTCTCATATGAATTTTGGAAGGATGGATGAATTTTCGGACCCAGCTGCTTAATGTGAATTTAAAAGAGGAGTTATTGTTGCTGTCGGTCTTTTTTCAGATACACGCGGAACTCAAAACAGGCATTTTTAAAATTGTACGTCTGTAAAAAAAAAAAATAATTGAAACGTGAATTTCGTAAATGCAATACAAGCATTTTTTTTTAATGACGCTTTTCAAATGATAATAATTTACTTGAAATTTTAAACAACAGTGCAGATAATATAATGTTTGGGCGTCCAAGGAAACCATAACACTAACAGAAGTGTAGATCATTTATTCTAGCTTTTGGATGCTGTTCTCAACTCTTCTCTCTGAGGGTGAATTATCTGCGTTCATGTTCTCATGCAACACAAACACGTCATAAAATGTTTTCTTCTAACTGTGGGAGCTGCTCAGTTTCCTTCCAAGAGGCTCAAATATACTGTAGCTTGAAAACATTGTTTATCCTCTGGATTTAGAGGAGCAGACTTCAGGACCAGCCTCTCCAGTGACTTCATGGTATGTGATGTCAAGGCCACAGGTCTGTAGTGACTGTGTGAGTTTGGGTGGCTAATTTTCGGCACATTGTTTTCTACAGAGCAGGCCACCCTCATGCTCAGGCTCAGGTGAAAAATGTGCTGGAAAACATCACACAGCTGATGAGCTGCACATCCTTTCAGGAGTTTGTGGCTTATCCGGACCTGCAGACTTGCAGGGACGTGGACGACTGAGCTCCATAGACTCCATAAACTGCATCCATATATCTCCTCTTTGTCTTTTTTCCTGGCAGCTGCATTTCTAACATCCTTCTACCAATATACTCACTGTCTCGCCTCTGGACATGTCCAAACCATCTCAGTCTGACCTCTCTAACTTTCTCTCCCAGTTGTTCAACCTGTGCTGTACCTCTGATTATCTTTTTCCTAATCATATCCATATACTGTACATACACAGTATAACATAAATGCAAAAACAATTAATGCATTACATCAAATATAGTCTTGGGCTAATTTTTGTTTTGGAATATGGTTCCCATCAGAGCAATATTCCCACAATCAATCAATCAATCAACCAATCAATCTATCTATCTATCCATCTATCTATCTATCTATCTATCTATCTATCTATCTATCTATCTATC